TCTCTCATTGTTTGACTCCATACAATCCCAATCAATGTGTCTAAAGTCAAGAAACCTCTCATTGTTTGACTCCATACAATCCCAATCAATGTGTCTAAAGTCAAGAAACCTCTCATTGTTTGACTCCATACGATCCCAATCAATGTGTCTGAAGTTAAAATGTCCCGTAATTATTATATCAGCATCTTTATTAGTAATAACCCTGATTTCATTCTACACTTTCTCATTGATTGATCAAGTGGTCTGAACAATTACCAGTTGAAATCTCTGATTATTTGAACAAGTTACCAGTTAAAATGTCCGCGTTTTATGAGGTGGCATGACAACTAACTGTTAAAACATCCCCATTTTATGAGGTAGCCTAAACAATTACCAGTTAAAATGTCCCTGTTTTATGAGGTGGCATAACAACTAACTGTTAAAACATCCCCATTTTATGAGGTAGCCTAAACAATTACCAGTTAAAATGTCCCTGTTTTATGAGGTGGCATAACAACTAACAGTTAAAATGTCCCTGTTTTATGAGGTGGCATAACAACTAACAGTTAAAACATCCCCATTTTATGAGGTGGCCTAAACAATTACCAGTTAAAATGTCCCTGTTTTATGAGGTGGCATAACAACTAACAGTTAAAATCCCTGATTTCAACCAACACATATTCCACATTTTCACTGCTGTTTTCATTTCTTTATTCCCAATGTGCTAGAGGGAATAACTCGTATAAAGAGCCACCCCAACCCTTTTTTGAAAAGTCTTGTAACTTAAATAACCAATAAGCAAGAATTTCAAACTAATTCCTATTACGAACGTTCTTTATATCCAACCATCTTTCAATAATTGCCATTATACATTTAACTAAAGATCTGAAATCATCCATTTTGTTCCTAACATTAGAATAATACCAACTAAACTCGTTAGTGTATCTACTGTGTTCATCTTTAAACCTGATAACTTATGTTTCAAACTATTATTTAACTTTTTATGCTCTATATCTCATGCCCCTCAACCTCTTATCGCTATAGCTATCCTATCAATTAATTTATCCCCCCCCCCAACACTGTGGAAGATTAGTTTAAACAGTCTTTAATGAATTAATTTAGATTGTTCTCATACCACTTACTATCTAACCTGTTACTGGTGCTAGTTATTATTAACGATACTATCCGCTATTACCGGGTCTGGGATGGCCTCGTGGTTAAGTCGCTCGACTCGCAATCTGAGGATCGCGGGGTCGAACATGCTTTCAGCCGTGAAGGCATTAAAATCCAACGGTCAATCCCACTATTCGTTGATAAACGAGTAGCCCAAAAGTTGGCGGTGGGCGGAGTTGACTAGCTGCCTTCCCTGTAGTCTATAACTGCCACGTTAAAGTGAAATACAAGTATCGAAATACAGAATAATAATGAAAAAAACACTATTACTGAAACTACTCAATATTACCGATACAATTCACTATTACCAGTAGTTTTCGTTATTATGTGAATGCTTTTTTGTAAGCTGGCGAAACGTGGCTGTAACTAAGTATACTTGTCATAAGACATTATGTTAGGCCTACATTCTTTATGGAACACTCTTTATATAGGCCATTTATTACAACAACAGTTGTTATGGTGTGAACGCTGGCGAAGTATGATAGTGATTAATTATACTTGTCACAAATCATTACTGTTACACCTATTATATTTTTCAGCACTATATTCTTTATAGGTAACACTTTGTTCGCTACTGTTGAATCTATTTATTATTATCTACGCTATTCATTATTTCTGATACTATTTACTATTATCGATACTATTCATTGTTACTAATACTGTTCACTATCATTAATAGTACATATTAATTAGAAGTGATAATATTCATTGTTACTGATACTATTCACTATTATTAATAGTGTTAATTACAACTGATAGTATTCATTGTTACTGATACTATTCACAATTATTAATAGTATTAATTAGAACTGATAATATTCATTGTTACTGATACTGTTCACTTTTATCAATAGTATTAATTAGAACTGATAATATTCATTGTTACTGATACTATTCACAATTATTAATAGTATTAATTAGAACTGGTAATATTCATTGTTACTGATACTGTTCACTTTCATCAATAGTATTAATTACTACAGATGTACACATTTTGTTACCTTTAACTTATTACTATATCTAAATAATTAACTAAAGAAAAGCAGCTACTAAATAATGGGACAACGATACATCTATGGACTTACAAAGGTAGAATCCGGGATTCGATTCGCCGCGGTTGACACAGCATAATCTAATATGGCTTTACTCTAAAACAAACCAAGAAATAATAGTTGGATAAATAATTTGAACATTTAAGTTACCTTCCAGTGGCTCAGTGGCAGGTAATTCAGCAAGTTTACGGTGTTAAAAATCGGGTTTTGATACCCATAGTGAGCAGAGCACAGATAACCCATTGTATAGTTTGTACTTAATAACCACAAGCAACCTATCAACTCTAAAGGTAAATAAATTATCCTTCCTTAGCCTAATACTTCTTTTAAACAAACAGTTAAACAGACAAATATACCAAAAATCTTAAACAGACAAATATACTAAAAATCTTAAAAAAACAGTTAAACATACAAATATACCATATATATTCAACAAACAATTAAACATACAAAGACACCAGATTTTTTTAAACAAACAGTTAAACAGAGAAAGATACCAAATATCTTAAACAAACAGTTAAACAGACAAATATGTCAAATTTGTTAAACCAACAGTTAAACATACAAAAACACCAGCTTTTTTTAACAAACAGTTAAACAGAGAAAGATGCCAAATATCTTAAGCAAACAGTTAAACAGACAAAGATGTCAAATTTGTTAAACCAACAGTTAAACGGACAAATATACCAAATTACTCAAACAAACAGACAAATATACCAAATTTCTTAAACATACAAAGATACCAGATTCTTTTAAACAAGGAGTTAAACAGATAAAGATACCAAAAATTTTAAACAAACAGTTAAACAGACAAAGATACCAAATTTATTAAACAAACAGTTAAATAAATATACCAAAAATCTTAAACAAACAGTTAAACAGACAAAGATGCGAAATTTCTTAAACAAACAGTTAAACAGACAAAGATACCAAATATATTCAACAAACAATTAAACATACAAAGATTCCAGATTTTTTTAAACAAAGAGTTAAACAGATAAAGATATCAAAAATTTTAAATAAACAGTTAAACAGACAAAGATACCAAATTTGTTAAACAAACAGTTAAACAAATATACCGAAAATCTTAAACCAACAGCTAAACAGACAAAGATGCCAAATTTCTTAAACACACAGTTAAACAGACAGCCAAATTTCTTAAACACACAGTTAAACGGACAAAGATACCAAATATATTAGACAAACAGTTAAACAGACAAAGATACCAAATTTATTAAGTAAACGGTTAAATAAACATACCAAAAATCTTAAACAAACAGTTAAACAGACAAAGATACCAAATATATTCAACAAACAGTTATACTTATCTTAGGCTTAGCCCACCCTGCAGTAATAAAACCTATAAATATGTTCAGTCAAATGTCATCTAGCTAAATACTGATAATTAACTGCTCCAAAGTTTAAATAACACCAAATTAATACTCAACTTCTTAGAGAAAAAAAAAGTTACAAATGTTTTTAGTTGTAAAATTTAACTCATCAGAAAACTCAAGTTTTCCCTCAGTTTTTTCATATCATCTTCTACTACATATATATATAATCAGATTGCTCAAAAGTTCACCCAGTTAAAATGTGTCAAACATGCATTACTGATTTCACTATCTCCCGGTATGTCTGTGGTAACTTTTCGGACTTACGGCACTGCAATTCTGGGTTCGATTCCTCGCGGTGGATAGAACACAGCTCCGTCATTGTGTATCTGTGTGCTAAATAAAATACACTAACAAATACTGATATCATCATCTAAACTACACAAACTGAACCGTAAAGAACAAATACATCGCTTAACTCACATTCCCTCGGCATAATCACTTAAAATAATTTTCTACTGTTATCCTGTAAGTTTGTTTGTTCTAAAGAGAAGATCTACACTGTGAGCTATATGTACCTGTGGCTATGGAAACCCGATTTTTAGCGTTATAAGCCGAGGGACTTACTGCCGAGCCATTGAGAAATATACTGTAACGTGACACCAGAATTTCTTTGACATCATCATGCAAGTACTAAATGCCGACCGGAATTTATCAATATCTCCAGGTAAACACTAAAACTGTGATTTTTCAGGGCAGAACCTCTCAAAAAATTTCATATAACATTTCATCAACATCAAATAATAAATATGTTCATAATTAACGCATATTTCATCTTTTACAATGCGTAATTATTAAAGTTAAAAGGGTTTTTTTTAAGTGTCAGTTCTTAACATTTACTTAAAGAGTCTGCAGACGGAAAAGGACCAAGTATGGAAACCCCAGATCCAACCTTGATGTTCTGCGATTTTCGTGAGGAAAACACTGACTGTAAAGCAACAGTGACAGGGGTGCCTTGGAGTACGGTCCCCCTAATTTCTGGCAAGTAAAAGTTATCTTTAACTGTCTCTTCATAAACTTAAATAGAGAAAAGGAGTTTAAATACGAGTTAAAGTAAGGCCGAAAGTTGATTAGATTTAACATTAAACGTGAAAGAAAATTAGTAACGTGTGATTCACTTTCTGTAGCCTGTTGCTCTTCAGAAAACAGGAAAGCATAGAAAGATTTAAGATATGCATGATAATAAAATATTAGCTTGTCAAGAAATTAATGTCGCGTTTTGGAACACTTTCATTAACCCCCCCCCCAAAAAAAACGTGCATCACGTATAATAGTTAAACGAACCGCCTAAACGTCCCGTTAACGTAGCCTATATAATGTGTAAAGTTTAGTATACTCTAATCCCTTATAGTGATGCCACACGACGAAACACACATTCGGCATGTAATGCTGTTTGAATACGAGAGAGGAAATAACGCCTCTATAGCCACAAAGAATATCAAAGAAGTTTATGGAAATGTTCTGAACGTTCGTAAGTGTCAACGATAGTTCAGCAAATTTCGTTCAGGTGACTTTAGCCTTAAAAACTGTGATGGCAAGAGCCGACATGTTGAAATTGGTGCTCTGAAGACGCTTGTTGAGTCTAACCCAAAGCAACACACTCGTGAAATGGCCCTGAAATTGCATGTCTCTCATGAAACAATACGTTAAAGAGGACATCGACATGTTTTTTGCTTCAAAGCCAAGTGATTTCCTTAATCAGAGCATTAACAACCTGATTAGAAGATGGAAAAGCATCATCGATAAGAATGGAGACTATTTCATTTAATGAATGTTTTATTTTGATATATAAGTTGTTCGGGAATTTCATCTAAAAAAAAAAAAGCGACATTAATTTCTTGACGGCCTAATAGATGTGTGTATATTCAGTAAATATGTAGTATTTCCAAGTATACTCCATTTACAACTCTCTTGTTTACTTGCTTGCCAAACCGAATAGTGGAAATTGTCTTTCCCTCTTATATCGCACCCACGACCCCGAAGTGCAAAACGCTATTTAACAATAACGGGATATGAACGATGAACGATCGGATAAACAGTCCGGGCACGCTAACACATTATGTCACACTAACCATTATGTTACACGCTAACATATTATGTCACACACTAATTATTATATTACACGCTAATACATTATGTCACACACAAATTATCATATTACACGCTAACACATTATGTCACACACAAATTATCATATTACACGCTAACACATTATGTCACACACTAACT